TAGAGCTCAAATAAGCACAAATATGACCATGGGACAGGGAATAAATATATATATATATATATATATATATATATATATATACATATAATAGACTCATCAGGGATAAGCGAACCATTTACAGCCCACGTTCGGGGAAAAGCGAACTATCTATAGCCCACGTTCGGGGACAAGCGAACCAACTACAGCCCACGTTCGGGAACAATCAAACCATCATCATTTTAGTGATCATCTCCCAAGCGAAGACAATTCATGACGCAAGGTTCTCGATACATAGAGACTTGCAATCTCATCATCAGACAAGTTTTTCCTCAAGTATGGAAAATTGTCGGTCGTTGCCACCTCTCAAGGCGAAGAAGTCAACGATTATATCATCTATCGACTTTCCTCAAGCATGGAAAGTATCTCAATCGATGGATTTCTTCAAGCATAGAAAACCGCCAAATTCATCAGTAAATTTTCCTCAAGCATGGAAAGTATCTCAATCGGTGGCTTTCTTCAAGCATAGAAAACCGCCAAATTCATATGTCGACTTTCCTCAAGCATGCATGGAAAGTATCATCCGGTAGATTTCTTCAAGTATAGAAAGTTACCAAACTAATCTGTCGACTTTCCTCAAGCAGGGAAAATATCTCAACAAAACGTCATCCTGTGGATTCCTTCAAGCATAGGAAGCTACCAAACTCATTTGTCACCGATAGACTGGTGTCAAATACGCATTCAATCTCTTTACTCTTTTATCTATAGAATTAACATTTTTCAGCAGGTATCAACGTATACTGAGTGATTTAGGATCGCTGAACGTCTTAAATCATTCCCCATCTCTATCGACTACTTTGACTATTGTTTTTGAAACAAACGTTTCTACAAACTCAGTTAAAGTGAGGGCTTCTGTAGACACCTAAAAATATCTCCCCAAAACCAAACTTGATGATGAACAAACTTTCATTGCCATTATTGGTCGGGTTGAGTATTTAATATTTGGAGTGCTTAAATTCATATTCAATCCCAATACATTTCATAAACAACCCAATTCCTTTCCCCAAACCAGAACTTATTTTCCTCTTTTCGTGCCTTTAAACCCAAAATAATTCATTTCGTGTCCTTTAAAATCATTCATTTCGTGTCCTTTTTTTAAAAACGTTTAGTTCAGTTTATATTGGTCCATAATCTAGGCCCAATGATTGAATATTTGGATGGATATTGAAAAGAGCTTTCCAACGATACATTATAAGCCCAAATCCGAGTTATAACGAATAAGTTGTGGCCAAAATACTAAACTAAGTCCAAATCGAACCCAAGCCCACCTTATCTACGACCCAATGATCATCTGGAAGGTCCAAAAGCTTTAATCCCATTTCTAAACCAATTAGGATTAATTAGAATCTTATATGAGTTTCTAAAAGATCTTAATTATCCTTTATGAAAAGATAAGATTAAAAAGTTTGAAATTAAATAAAACTCCTTTTTTTAAAAATCCTAATTCTATTCGAATTGAAAGATGTTCAAAGATAGTCAGATATTATTTTCGTGCCTCATATTTTTTTTTATCCAAATCTTATATGGTTGGATATCTCTTGAAATTATATTTTCAATGATATATTATAATATCAATTCCGAGCTATAATAGATAAGATATGAATGAAATACCAAACTCTATCCAAAACTGACACCGTCCCACTATTTCGGCCATATCTTTTATTTTACAAAGGAATTATAATCTGGTTTTAATTGGGTTAGAAAGTATACTTCAAAGTCTTTTCAACGACATATTATTTATATTATTCTAATTTCTTAATCAAAAGATATGATAAAAACAAAAATTGCTATCTATCGGGTTGTATTCTGATTAAATTCGGATTTTATCTTAATTCCTCGAACCTTCTTTTTTCATTATAAATAGAGGTCATATCACCCCTTTTCAATCATCAACAAGCTTTATCACAAAATCATTCTCTTCTCCCTCTTTAGCCTAAATACTAGCCACCCTATTATTTCAAAATACTTCTCCTAAGCACTCCAAGGAGTCCATACTTGACCCGAGGTTCCGTCCTTAAACCAAGGCGTGAAAGGTATAATTAACTGAGGGTTTGGACCAAATCAACTCAACTTTTTATTTAATTTAATTTCCATTTGGTTTATATAATTATTGAAGTTACTAACATTTTATTCATGATGTAGCAATTTAAGGAAAAGCGAAAAGTGAGTAATTAATCATTTAATTACTCTAATTTTTATTCTTGTTGCTAGTATCATGATTAGGTTTATGATGATTTGATTTGACTAACAATTTATTGTTGAATTGCTTCCAACATTAATGTTGATTTCTATTATTATTATTGATCACCATATTGCATGTTTAAAGGGAATATGTAACTAAATCACGCCTAATAAGATAATTTTGACAGCCGATTTTGGTTCCTTTTTAATCTTGTTGTTTAATCAAGTGATCAAATATTTTAGAATTATGTGTTGCATTAATATTCAACCAATTTAGCCTAATAATAGTTTGGAGCAAATTGAATATTTTATTTGCATACCTATGAGATCGCAGGAATCACTTTTCATTATGAGAATCTAGTAGAGGCCAATACGGGCGAATGTGACTCCATGACTCACTTCGTACCATCATCCCCGATCCTCCTTTCGTGTTCTGAATCATATGGAGTTAGTAATATCATGGATTATGAATGGGTTGTAACCTTCACGGGTCAATCGTTGTTGCCTTTCGTTGTCCCTTTATCGTGGTTGCCTTTTATGATCCGTGAACGGTTTACAAGTTCCTTCAAAACTTGTTGGCAACTCCCTACTTTCCTTGTCCCTAATCGTATATGTCAATTCCCACATCCTATGAGTGTCAAGCATATTCACAACATGCTTACGTAGGCGGGCTTTGAACGACGCCCACAAGGAGTTGCCAAAATTATGGGGAAAGTTAAAATAATTTCAGTTCGTAAGGAAACCCTAGCCTTTCCCTCTCTTTTCTCTCTCCTAAACTCTAGCCTTTATTGTTAGTTTTTAAGGGCTTCCATTGGATTTCACCAGTGGAAAGCCTCAACCTTTGTTTTTTTTATTGCTTTCTTAGGTTATAATAATGTCACCCTCGAAAGAAAGGGTTTAATATCATTTGAAAGACAAGGTTTTCCGATCTCGTTCCATAAATAAGGTTTTTTCAAGCTCAAGACAAGGTGTTATTTGCATTTAATTTGGTCTCCATTTATGTTGGGCTACGATTGATTATTGCTTGGATTCAAGTTACAAACTCATCAACACAAGAATTATTTTTCTGTAAAAATTATGAAGTGGCGGCGAATCCACTCAAAAAGTTGTATGAGACAACGAATTGAGAATGAGCTGAATTGTTATATTTATGTATTTGAATTCATAGTCCTTCCCCTATTAACTCTTATTTGACTTTGTTAGATTTGTTTTTGTTATAGTTAATTATATATTTTAGATGTCGTATGACTTTAATTAATGAGATTTAGTGTCCTTTTGGACTTCTTTTTTAAAAATATTATGGGGAAAATTTAGAGAGAGATTTTTTATTTTTTTTTCATATAGTTCGAAAATAACTAGGGAAAGAGACTGGAAAACGACGAGGGAAAAGTAAATATTTCAAAAGTAAAGACTTTTACCTAAAAAATTGATCAATATTAACATCTGTCCTTTTTTCTACAAAACGTTCTTTTTTTATTGTTTATTTATTTATTTATATTTTTTATTTTGTCTCCAAACGTCAATTTACCATTTTGACTCTAGAGTGCATTTGGACTCAAGTTATTAGTCTTAGAATTCCTGTTTGATTATACCACTTTGATCTCCACAAAGTTTTATGCAAGTGAGTTGAATATGTTGAAATATATATTGTGTAATTAGGGGTGTTAAAAAAATGATAATGGGTGAATAATTTATGTAAAAATAAGGGATGTGAGGGAATAAAAATATTAAAAACATGTGATTAGGGGTAAAACTAGGACCAAAAGATTATAAAGTATTCACATTTAATGAAGTGTTGCAATTAAAAAAACGTTTGATTTTAAGCAGTGTTTCACTTAAAATAAACCATATGATGTATCAAAGAGAGATAGTAGAGAGTAAGAGATTAACTGAATAGAGCTTAGAATAATGGATAAAAAGAGTGAGTAGAACTTAGAGTCTACCGCAATTTATATCTTACTCCTGGAGTACCATAAATTCATGTTATTTTGATGTTAACTTTTTATTATTTCAATTTATATATACTACCTCCGTTTCATATTATGTGCAACAGTTACTAAAAATAGATGCTACATTTTATTTGCAACAAATGTTTTCTTTCCTTTTATTGATTGTCTTTTCTCTCTATCTCTCTCCTCATCACATGCTTTTTTATATTTCTTTCTCCATTTACCACTCACATACAAATTTTGTCTAGGAGTCCGTGACGATGTTTTTGTTGCACATAATATGAAACAGAGGTAGTATATGATTTTAAATAAATGAATGTTATTTCACCATTTTTCTCAGTCATCTTCCTCACACATTCACTCTCTTTCTTCCTCTTAGCTACTCCAACTCAAAATCACACACTTTCTCTTCCTTTCTTCTTCCAGACCTCTTATTCTCATTCTCTCTCTTCCTCTCACTACTCCAACTCCAAATCAAAGACACTTTCTCTCTCCTCTTTTCTTCTTCCAATTTTCTGGGTTTCTTAGAAATCAATTGATTTGAAGCCATTTAAGGATTTAAATGTGTTCTTGTATAGAAATTTAATACCTCTTGAAGTGTTTGATTCTCTTCACGATGTCTTGAAACTCAATGCTGCTAATGTTATTTTGATGTGAATTTATTATTATTCAAATTATATATATGTAATTTTTAAAAAAGTATTTGGTATTTTATGTAAATTATAAATAGCATGAGTTGAGGTTGAAGTAGATAAGTAAATAACATATTGTTGTAACAAAAAAAAAACATTTAAGCAAAATAACATAAAGGGTACGCAAAATAACTCAAACATATTGTGCAAGGAGTTACCACAATCCATGGTAATCCAGGAGTATATAATACTAATTGAGAATCTACAAGAAAGAAGCGTATTACATAAACAAAAAGGCTGGCAAGTTAATGTAATATTCAATAACAGCGTGAAATTTGTATTCTGGCTGCTTTCCAAGAATAGTTTCCATGAAACTAACAACATAATAATAGATGGCCAAAATTAAAACGCTGTTCATTAAGCCGTGAGTTCTGCTTCATCAATGAGACCAACTATTCTTGACTTAATCACAAATTAAATAAAGATCATATTTGCCATCAAGTGACCAATTACCCAATATCATCAGTTGCAAATTGCGAATTGCCTTAATCTCTGACCTACAGTGACTCTGCGATTAATCTCTCTGTTACTGCTTTCGGAAGGCCCATTACACTGTCGGTTGTCCCAACCTGCATGAGTAAATAACAATATTTTCAACATATGCCCAAGTCCCCTTCATATATGAAGCCATGATGGTTTCACAAAGGGGTGCACTTAAATTGCGCTACACAATTCATTTCTTTATCAAGATCCAACTAGTTGACAGCTTCAGTAGTTATATTCAAGGTGAGTGAAATGATCTAGTATGACGTCTATATTCTGTGACTTTGAATATATCACCTTGGCACAATGATTTTATTTTTCAATGATGGCATATTCTGCACAAATTCAATTTCCGCATTCTTAATATATCATATAGAGTGGTCTAGGATAAGTGGATAACTAATATTGCAGCAAATGAAAAGAGTGTGGAGAAGACCAACCACTTGCTTAACCAAGGGTTTTATGAGAGGATGTTCAATTATTAGAGCACCAGCAACATGCAGTACTGCACCCTCTGCGATCTGAAAATTGGAAGGAAAGGATCAAGTTACAGGCAAAAGGTTTTAAAATCATTCTCATACTATATCCGAAAGATTTTTGAGAGGCATAAGAAAGAATAAAGGATATTGAGGAGGATGCTTACAAGCTTGTCAATAGTATCATCTGGTATCTCATCAAACAAAATCTGCAAAGATATCAGAGCATATGTATTACAGTCTTTCATCCGGGAACTAAAGATATAGATATACAGCTCTGGGCAGCTATGGCAGTAAAAGTGTCATGCGCACTTGTATCAGGTACATGCAAAATTAAAGTAGGAGGGCATTAACAAATATGTTTCTAAATACAAAAGGGTGAGTGACGTATGAACATTCTGCCACAGTTTAGCATTCAAAAGTGCAACTATGGTTAATGAAACATCCTATAAAGGAGATTATAAATCTCAAAGTTAAATTTGATCTTTCTTTTAAGCTTTTCCACAAAATTCCATCCAAAGGATTTTTCTGCAGCATCGGTTTTTTTATTATTTATTTATTTATTATTATTATTATTATTATTTTTTTGAATGTATTTGAATCTCAAACTAATGGTGAAGTAATTTTCTGTCATTTGATAGGTTTACTCAATAAATAAATAAATAAAGATACAAAAAATGCAAAATATAAAGTGGATTTTTTTTGTCTTCAAGAATAACCTGGATTTAGAAGAGTAGGTATACAAACATAAATTTGACTTGTTTAAATCAGGAAGCTACATCATGAACCAATTAAATTACAAATTAAATAACCAATTCACAGCAAAATTTATGGACTAACAGGGCAGAAACTCGCTATTAACAGCTAAAACAGAAGAAAAAACAACGAAATAAGCTAACATTTTTTATCTACAGGGTTGGGGTAGGCTAAGTTCATTAGAGGGGAAGACACAGATAAAGCAAAAGGTTTATGCAATAAGAAGCTTCTTCATTTCTCCACTTGAACTCACTAAGTACAAGGAGTTTGTATTTTATCCAGATGATGAAACGGGTCTCAGTAAATTAATTTCAAATAAATCACACCAAAATGTACCTCCACTCTATCCCATTCCCCTTTCCTGAAACCTGTCTGAAGGTTTGTCACAAGAACAGAGCTGACAGTTGAAGCCTTCCTTCCAGAATAATCTGTCAATGAGACAAACGAGAAACCAATTTGAGAAACATGAACACAGATGGCGCTCTCCAGTTCTCATCGTAACAAACTATCATAATTGCATAATACATCTAGCTTTACATTACCAAAGTGGTATTATTTAGAACTTAGGATACCAATGGAATGTCACTGGTCATTTTAGAATACTTAAACGATGAGCATTCAGAGCATGGCGATGAATAAATTATCACTCACAAGGTGTTAGACAGCAACTGCACCATTTTTTATTTTTATTTTTTTGGATAAGAAACTGCACCATTTTATAGCTGATGATTCAAACCACAAATTGCCAACAATGGTGAATTAATTGTACTTATAAGTATAGATAACAGTCTGCAGAGCTACCTAAATGAACTTTCATCATCTTCTCTGTTTAATATTTGAAACCCCATTGACTTTGGAAAGAACCCTTCTCCAAAGAAAAATCTAAGCTCCGGCCAAGTCAATAAACGGAATGACAAACAGGATGGGAAGAAATCACATAGAAGCAGCAAGAGGGGTTCAAAACTACGAAGCTATTTTACAATACACGCCCCTTGTATATTCTCTCTTGATCAAACAAAGAGTAAGATTCCTAATGCTAATTGATCAAGTGCACTTCTACACTGCATGGCTGTTACCAAAAGCGTGACCATAGCTGTAATTCAACCTAGGTGGGCTGTTATTCTTATAGTTATTCTGCAGGGATTCACTTCCGTAGCTCTAGCAATTAGCAAGGGAAGCTCTAGCTTACAAGAGTTACAATCACTGTAGGACCTTCAAGGCCAGAGTGGGTTAGCAGTCAGCATCTACTAAATATCTCATCAAACCAAGGACCCCTTTTAGGAATGTCAAACCGGACCTACAATAGCCAGTGTTCACCGCCAAATAATCCTAAATTGAACAATGTGCCAGCAGCCATATGGTGCCCTTGTTAATTAGTACTGATTAAAAGAAAGTAATTTAAGCCCAAGAAGAAACACAAGTCCAGTTCTATAATCAAATTACTGTATGACTTAAAGATGCCACAAACAAGTAAACACATCACAATTAACACAAATTGATAGACAATGACACTCTCAGAGGCACATAGAAACCTTTTAAATACTGTCAAGCTTCCTCTTTGCCAGATGGTTTCTCCCTTATCATGCCTTCATAAACCAGTACTGATTCAAATAACCCTAAATCGAACAATGGGCCAGCAGCCATATGGTGCCCTTGTTATCTAGGACTGATTCAAAGAAGGTAATTTAAGCCCAAGAAGGAACAAAAGTCCAGTTCTATAATCAAACTACTGTATGACTTAATGCCAAAAATAAGTAAACACATCCCAATTAACACAAATTGATAGACAATGACACCCTCAGAGGCACATATAAACCTTTTAAATACTGTCGAGCTTCCTCTTTGCCAGATGGTTTCTCCCTTATCATGCCTTCATAAACCACCACCTGGAATGAAAGAAAATGAGAAATAAGCAACAATCCTCACATTTTCCTCGAAAATAAATTTGTCCACAATGAAATGAAGTGAACAGATGTTGAAAATAGTAAATAAGACCCACATTAGCTTAATTATAGATGCTCATTTGGCTTTGCAAGATGTCAAATTTGGATATTTTACTCTAGTTTTCAATTTCACTAATTAAGTATCAGAACATTACTCTTTTTTATAATCTTATACATCTTTTTTGCAAAGTACAAAGACGTTGAATAAAAGAGAGAAGAACACATAACAAATGAAAAGTGAGGAATTGTTTTTATAGAAAAGCCGTTTCCCAAACCCAAGCCTGCACTATTGAGTTCTTCCAAGTCACATCTTCACGTAGCACCCGATAAGAGATCTTCCAAGTCACATCTTCACGTAGCACCCGATAAGAGTTATAACCAACATACCAGTTTGACGCTGGTCAAATATTGAACTATGTTAACAGAAGCCCTCAAAACATTACAGCTTTTCTGTCACAAGTTGACTTTCTCACTTACAAGTAAATCGTAAAGAGCGATACTAAATTTAGCGATTAAACAGGCCAAAATGTCTCCACATGGTCAAATCCACATTTAAAAAAGATGAATTTTATATATTCACTCTAAGTGAGACCAAACTTAACCACACTAAAATTGCGCAGTTCCAAAATGTCTCCACATGGTCAAATTGGACACAACTCAATGCTAAATTCATTAGCTGATCTTAACTTGTTTATCTTATAAAAGATCAATGGGAATGGCTGTTACTTGGTATTTCTTGGTACAACACCCAGCTTGAGAGACAGAGCAAAGACATAAAGGGCCAGAGAAGGCCATACCCTACTTCTTCACAGTTTTCCACGTAAATAGCTGCCTAAATCAGCAAACATGGCACCAACTAAAAAATGCATAAGCTGTTAATCAGCAGATTGTAAATATGGGTTGCCAGATGCTGGATTCTACAGAAACCAAATAGAGTATGACTAATAAATTCTCTGTGAGAACTTAAAGCCAAGTTAATTATATTTTGTGTTTCCACAATAAGACTTTCATCTCATCAAAGAAACATGCTCTTTAACAATTGAAGGGTTAAGCACATGGGATGTGTATTCATAGCCTTGTTCTAGAAAGGAAATTTTGGCAATGGGCAATGAGAAGAATGCGTCTTTCCGTAAAGAGAGTTGCTCTGAAAGCTATGATGAATTATCAAGATGTGCAGGGATTTAAAGTGTCGAGGACAAGTGCTCTCAGAATTATTTCTGGCAAATTCAATTAATTAATCTTTTTTTTTTTTTTTTTTTTGAAAAAAAAAAAATCAATGTTTCTAGTATAGGAAGACAATGATGGAAATTAGAATATCAGATAATGATATTTTGACAACAGCAACTGCAGGCCTGAGGAATATTGTTGATTACAAGAATCACAACATTTTTTATGATAAAAGACGACCAAGGAAATCATATGCTTAGCATATATGATGCTGCCAAAGCTATTAACCTCAGAGGCTGGTCAAATCCATAGTGTGTTGGATAGCAAATACTTGAAGAAATTATATGCCTTTATTCCTAAGATTAATTAAATAAAATTGTTTATTGTAATGATAAATAGGAAGGTGAAGTGTCATATGATGTGGAGTCTCTAAACAATTAAACACAGTAAGAGTGCGTACTGCATAGCCTACAATTGACAAGAGGGAATGACACTTATGACAGAAAGCATTCTTGGTTCTACACTTTGGAAACACTAAATAGCTCAAGAGAGTGCCATATCATTTTGCAGTTTTTGCTTTCTAATCATATTTAACTTGGCAAAAGTATCTATCCATTTATATTTCGGATATTGTTAGTTGAATTATTTATTACTTTTGCTTCTTCTTAGTATGTTTTTGTTATACATTATTTCATATACAAAGGTAAGGACTATATGTGAATAAGATTCTACTTCCTGCGTGTCTCAAAACATGCATCATACTTTGACCACATTTTATTACAATGTTGTTAGCCTATTAGGTTCATCTCAATTTATATCCTCAAAAGATCAGCCTTTATAATTTTTCTAATACATAATTGTAGTTAGAAATGGACAAATTAGTGTGTTGGAAAACATAAAAGTCACAACGATGTGATGTATTGAGAAACAGAATATGTATCTCACTACAACATATGCCAGGTGAATAATTTCCAAAAGGAAAAAACATATTGCGTAGACTAACTAGAATATCATTTTTAAAGGAAAACGAAAATAACAAAAAATAAAAAAGAAACTATTTATACTTGGTCGGCTGTAATTAAGATAGTGGTTCCAGCATCAGTTCTGTGATCACCATTGGAAGGCTTTGTTAATGTGGCTTCTGCCTGAGAAGATATGGCGATAAATTAAGTAAATATGGAATCCACTACAACAGTAACATAACTTTTGACAACATACACAACCACTTTCATCAGAGTATAAAAGATTATATTGTTGGAGGCTTGGAGCAAACTTCTAATGCTACAGATTTGATAATGTTGCGGACCTTGAGGCCATATTCCAATAGAAGGGTCATCAAGCATAAAACTAGATGAATGCAATCAAGAGTTTACATCGTATTTCAACCACAAAGCGAAAAAGAAATAATAAGTTACAACTAAGGATTAGCATTAGCCTCTGAAATATGTCCATAAGATTGGTTTCAATGGCAGATTAGACAAGAAACAAGTGACAACATATCAAGAATTACAATCAGTCTGTTGATAAATCTATGGTCAGCTTAATCAGCTAATAATAAAATTGATTAGGGGAAACTAAGTTAATCCTGTGCGTTGCATGATTTAAATAGCTATCATTTTAAGATAGTCATTATTCTTTATTCGAAATATGTATAGTCGCAATCTCGTTATTTTTATTATATATTTAGTCTTGGAACTTAAGAGGGAAGGGGAAAAAAATGACGCCCAATATAGTTTAGGCGGGAAAATTTTTCATAAGAAGTTGACATGCGTCCAACTGTCCATCAATAATGTCAGCATGGCCTGTTTTAGTAATAGTTAAAAGATACAGGCATTGTGCTAATCTTAACCTCAATTGTACAACATTCACTAAACAAATAACAGATGATCACATGTAGCATTGACCACAAGTAAATCAACTCTCACAATGAATTTTCAAAAACTTAAAAGAGGATGCGAAAGTCAAAAGTCACAACTATTAAAACAACAGTTATTGTTCAAGGTGGTGCGTAGTCTCTGAGTGATCAGTGGAGAGGCTATTTCTGATGTTCTGGTAGAGAATACAGAATTTTTTTTTCTTTGACTATAGTAAGTAGACAATTATTATAATACTTTGTTAAACAAGATAGAACTTGAACAGCATCATGATAATTGAAAATCACAGCCGCAATAAATGCCCCCAGTACCTATGACAACTGAATTAAAAAAAAGGACATGGAGACACATTTTACAGGTTGGCATCAACACACACACACACACACACACACACCAAAAAAAAAAAAAAAAAAAAAAAAAAAGACTGAATCACAGTATAGCATCAAAACAATCAACATCCTTACTAAAAATCGCCTGCAAATTTGCAGTAATAACATTAAATCCTGTTAATATACCAGCTTCGCCCACTGCTATTAGCAAGCCACAGTAACTTTCTCACTCAAGGATTCTATAATCAAGCTCACAACACTAACTAATGGAATTTTCTGATGTCTATGTTAACACTAATTAAGAAAAGGAGAAAGATTGAAGGGTACATTGAAAGAAAGATGCGATGAGACCACTTATTCAAAATATCATGTTCAACATAAGTACAAATTGAGCTGCCCAATAAATTTAAATATGATCAAGAGTCATGACTAAAAAAACAGCCAAAAGTAGAAAGCCTGTGTAAATTTTAACAAAAGTACATAAAGAGTGTTAAAGACTTAAAGTACTCTCAGAAGACGAGCATTAAGCAAAATCTGAATAAATATGAAGTGCATAACAAATACTTCAGACAGTAGGGCAGCACACAGATAGAAAGAAGAGAAAGCATACTGTGTCAGCTGCAATGAGAAGCGTTGGCTCATTATCGTTCACTTGTTTATCAGCAATTTGAAGCTTTGAGATGACGGCATCAGCCTGAAGGATATCCACAACTCACCATTAGGCTTGTACGAGTTGGCTTCACAAGAAGAAATGTATTACACCGTCACAACTCTATTTGGAGATTATGAGGCATAGTGCATACAACATTACAACCACATATATTACAAGAATACATGAATACACTTTATGCCTTACATTACTCTTATTCTGTTATTTCACCTTAATATAATAGTGCCTGTAGGACTGTAGAACACAGGTTCAAACTCGAACAAGAAAATCAAACTGCTAGGCCTCATAGTGTCATACATACACTTGTATCTCATCCATTGGTCATGTCAAGCTCAAGTCAACTTTAATTACAGGATGCTTAATAGCTCCTCCGTCTTTATATTTACGCCCCATTTTTCATGCTCGGATTCCCTAAATGTATAACATTTCCCATAATGGTCCTATCACTTTACTCTCTTGTCAATTACATATGGTCCAACTGGTTTAGTCACCCATCAAATTCCCCAAACTCTGGTGAGGCATACAAATAAGGACAGAGGGAGTAAACTCTCTACAAATAAACCAAAATGCATTGAACACGAAAAATCGCAAAGTAGTTTACATATTCACTAAGCTACGCAAAGGAACACAACATATGAAGTTGAGCAAACATCTCAAACTTAAATAGGGTATAAAGATTGCACCTTCGCCTCAGCAAGGGCCATGACCAAATCTTCCGGCTTTTCTTTGCGGATAGCTTTTTCATCAATATCTGCAGTCTGCAGGACAAACATAATTCTATACTTCGTATTTAAAAACCCAGAAAACTAATAACAAAAGTAGCAGAAAAATCAAGTAATCAACCATGAATTTACCATAATTGTGAATTCATAACCCATTTCCACCATTATTTCTCTTCTTGCTTTTGATTTAGAGCCCAAAATTATCTGCACCAAACCCCATAATATCTTCATTATCAAATACAATTTTCAATCAATATCAGTAAATGGATTAATATATCCATAGTATAAGTACAAAAAAAAATCTTCAAAATGCTGCTAATTAATTTCTTCAAAATTTAAATTATTGCCAAATTATTCTGGAAAGTTGATAATCTAAAGTCCATAAACAAGGAACAAGACCCAGATAGGCAATTAATGTAGAGTACTAAGAGTGGAAATTTGAGTTTAATTACACTAATAATTCGAAAAATATTAGTTTAAGCTTGTAGATAAGAGAACAAATTAGCTTTAGAGAAAGTACCTTGAATGTGGGAGCAGCGGAATCCATCCTCGCTCTTTATTTCTGACTCTCTGAACAAAAAAAAATAAGGTGAGGAGGACGTTATTGCTAACTACTTTAAATAAGCCTTTTTTTTTATTTTATTTATTTTTTTTTTTTTTTATGTTTAAATAAGCTAGATGTAGACCATGCAGTATTGAAATGAGAAAATCTTTGGTTTTTTTTTTTTTTTTTTTTTTTTGTTTTTTGGTTTTTCTACATGGTACCCTTGAATTTTTGAGTTTTCCACCTTGTATCCTACTAAATTCAGATTTCTACAAAGTGACCTTGAGTTATTAGTTTATTTTACATTATACCCTTGAGTTTTTGGATTGTTCTATATGGTACCCTTGAGGCATCAAATACACAACTAACATGTTTATCGCAAAAAAAAAAAAAAAAAAAAAAAAGACTAACAACTTGAGTCCCTCTAAAACAAGCTCTTTTAGTTAAAGTATGAGCAAAAAAAAGTTCTTATCTTCCATCTCAAATGATCATACAAAAGTTCCACTAAATATCGAATAATGAAGATTGGTGATTCCTCCATCTAATATAAATATAGAAGTGGTAAATAGATCATTTAGACGGTGTCGGTTTGAGTCAAATTAAGTGTAGACACTCATTTGTGTCTCCCCAAAATCAAACCCGGTGATGAGTACCTTTCACATCGAATCGTAATCGAATGAAGTGAAAGTGTGAAAAGTCTAGTGTTGCGGATAGTTTTAATTTCTTTTCTTTTCTCTCTATTTTTGAAAACCTATTTTAAGAAAACAGCCAATCCAGTTTGGTTGGTCCATGATATGGGTCAAATAGTAGTGTAGTTAGATAGGGCTTGAAAAGAGCTTTCCAACAATATATTATAAGCCCAATTCCGATGAAAATTGAGGAAGTTATGGCCAAATTACTAAACTGGGTCCGGTTTGAGCCTTATATGCGGCCCAATGATCTAGATGAGGGCCCAATATGGATTTATCATTCCTAATACAATTAGGAATGGTTTTAGTGTTCTAGATTCTTCTAGAAGGTTCCTTTCTTTCCTAATTCAATTAGCATTGATAAATTGACTTTTGTTGACTTTTTAGAATTTTAATCAGAATAAAAGAATGTTTTTGAGGAACATACGATTTTATCCTCCTGTACGGTTAATTTCTATCTGATTTTAGAAAACGCGTTAGAAATTTAATCAGTGCCAAACGCCAGTCATTAGCGCCTGGCGCTAAGCCTGGTGCCTTGCGCTAGCTTTAGCGTCTTGCGCTAATGTCAGCATCTGGCGCTAACCTTATTTTTTAGCTTCAAAACTCTGTTTCGATTTTTTATCTTTTTGGCTGATTTTCTCTATAAATAGCCTTCTAAAAACTCCGTTTTCATTCACCAATTCTCACCAACTCTCATCAAGAAATTCTTGATATATTCTCTCTCTCTTTTCTAAACTAGCCTTTTCTCAAATACAAAATTCCGCATTCACAAGACCTAGATACACCTAGCCTTATTCGAAGTTGTCTTCTCCCTAAACGTGAAAGGTTTTAATTTCTGAGGGTTTGGTCCCAAATCTCTCCTTCAATTATTTAATTTAATTGTTGTTTTATTATTTTCCTTGAAGTTACTAACGTGTGTATTTTGTTATTAGAAAGAGATACGAGGCATCCAAGTAAGTGATTTAATGGTTTTTATTGATATTATTATGTAGAGATCATGCTTAGGTTGTTATTATGATTCCTAATGTTATGTTAGGGCGTTTTGATCTTCCTAGTATCATGTCTAGGGTAATTTTAATATCAAGTATGATTAAAAGTATGATGCCTTTTATTTTCTTCCTAATATTTATGATCGTTAGTATCATGTTAGGGCTAAAGCTTTGATTTTTATTGTTTAGTGACATGTTAGGGTTTGTTATCAATCTTGTTAGTGGATCTTGCTATTATTATGCTTTAATATAATTTATGATTATTTTTATGATTATAATTGTTATAATAATTATTATGATTATTATTATGTTGCTTGACATTTTATTGTTATTGCTTGGTCACACCTTTTATGCATGTTTAAAGGAAATTGGTACTTGTAATCATGCTTAATAAGATAATTAATAATCTTGTTAGGGTTAATTTGAATATAATTCAAGTGATCGCCAATAATAGATTTATTTGTGCATTAATATTCAACCAACATAGATAAACAGGTTTAGGGTTAAACCTATTAATTGCATGTTAGTCAGAAAGCGCACATGAATACGATCAGAATAAAGTAGAGGCCTATTATTAAGGCAGGTTCAATCTCTTTTAGGTTGGATTTGTACCTTCATCCCCGAACTACCAGTCATGGTTCAAGACCTATTGGAGTTGACGATCTCTTGGATCGTTAAGGGGTGTAACCTTCACCTCGTGAACGGTTTACAAGTTCCTAAAACTTGTTGGCGACTCTTTTGCTCTATCTTCTTTCCCTTTGGACGCCACCGTACTTTAGTGTATGATCACAGTGGGGTTCAAGTTAGGGGTAACGCTTGAAATATTCCCTACAGTTTTTGGCGACTCCACTGGGGAGGATTTCTATTTTAATTCCTGAAATTTATTTCGGCAATGATTAAGAATGAGTGGATGAGACTCGAAAAGTTCTAAGTATTTCATGTGCGTAATTTTGATTAACATTATTGTCATATACATAAAAAAAGATCTCATTGGAAAGACCATCCGTAATGAGTTAAAATATAGGATTTTTACACGTAGGAAATTTGAGAAATATCTTTCACAACTAGGATCGAAATAACACTGCGCGAAACTGGAAAATTTTATCGAGCACAGAAAGCTGCTAAGGCATGTAGGAACAAGTGTCAACGAACAAAGATTAGCGCCAGTATTTTGACTTTAGCGTCAGACGACAACCTCTGTCGCCAAGCGCTAAAGCCAAAAAGTGGCGCTAGCCTCTGTTTGCTGGCGCCAAGTTCTTCCAATACCGAGCCAAAAATACGCGTTCTAATTTCGACCAGTTTTTAGCATTGTTTGCTCGATCCTACTTCCTGATTGAGTTTTTTCTTACTTTTCTGAAACCCATATGTGTTCTACATATGGACATAACCCTCTGGGAATTCATGCTCCATCTACCTGATTGAACGCTCTGAGCAACAAAGGGTACATCCGAGAATGTTGAATTCACCAAACCATGGAAGCGAGTTTTTCTAAATTCGCGGTGTCCCATCCACTCGCGCCAACCCTTCATGGTTAGGCTTCCTCGCGGTGCATCCGGACAATTAACCATGGACCCTCTTTGACTAACCTATATCCCGAACTTTAGAGAACTAGAGCCATGGTTAGGTTGCAAACTCATTGCATCATATTGTGCCTACTTGACTAATTGTGCATTATTTGTTGTGTATACTCTATGTGTTTTTCCTAATTGTTTGTTTGACTTGTGCTAAAATTAAATAAATTAATGACTAAAAGAACTTTGCCTAATTAATTAATTAATTAGAGTAAATAAAGTCTAATATTTTAACCAGAGTTGACTTAGTACGACTTTAGGTATACCCCTTGTTTCGGGGTTTTCTGATGTCCTGCGGGAGAGTTACAATTCCGAGACTGGAACCGGACGCCTGTACCTGCAAAATAACGGAGACTCCTGAGAGCTCCGCCTCCAACGGTCAAGTTAGTACCTGATTAAGGAGTAATTAATACGGAAATTAAAGTAATAAGACCTCTCTAGGTGAGAGTGTTTAACGTTGGTAATCTGCTTTGTTAGCGAGATTAGCCGGTTATTAGTGTTCCGTAATGTTTCTGTTCTTCTCTGTTCTCTTGATTTCTTGATCTCTTAATTAATGAGGATTAATTAAGTATTTATAGTCTTGAGAAGCGTGCCACTCTCTAGGTTTAGGGTAAACCTAGGGCTGACCGGGCCTCTAGACAGGACTGGGCCTTGTTGGCCGGTTTTCCCATTTGGCATGGGTGGACACGTGGCGTGTCTCAATTGGTCCGTAGAGGACGTATCTGTGATTGACACGTGGCAGGGTCCTATTGGCCTTCGTGAAGGACACGTGGCGGAACCTGGTTGGTCCACTTGTCAGACGGTGATTGGTGGATAAAAATCCCCTAATCATTTGCCCCTCACAGGTGGCACGTGACTGGTCACGTGTCGCCTGTGACAGGTGTCGCACGGTGACAGGCGACGGCCTGCTACAGGTGTCACCTTGCAAACGGCCGAGAGATTTTCCCGCCCAAATTTTGAATTTGGAAGCGACCCTTCGCCTTCTCACTTTGCCTATAAAAGGAAGTGCTGACTTCGGTCATTTTCACATTTGAGAACTTTGCGAGAACATTCGGACCCCTGAACTTGCTCTGACATTTCGGACCTTTTCTGCCTACCGCCTGTTCTGACAAGCCGACTGCACCGGATTTCCAGAACTTCATCAACCGTCACTCGTTCAGGTAACTCAGTTCTCTTACTCTTAATTTTCTTTTTATTTTTTGAAATGGCACCACGGAAGCACACGACACGACCTAAGTTAGTGATCAGCCGGTCACCGGGGACGGCTGAATCTAGGACTAGGAGTGCCGCCTGCCCTTTTCTGGACCCATCTTTGCCCTTTATACAAAGTCCGACTGTATCTGTGTCTATGCAGAACGTGATGGCCAGAACAAAAAAGACTGCTATGATATCAAACTCAGACGGCTCCTCCCAAAGGGTGCTCATTAGTGAAACATCTGACCAGGCGCCAGATGTAGAATTGAAACGAGGCGGCTGCCAAGCCGACAGTTCTGAGAGAGGGGCCAAGGTGGTCCCTTCCCATCTTACCGTTGATATGTCTAATTTTCCTCCTGCTCCTTCTAAGGGAGAGGAGGCGGGCCCCTCTGGGAGAGGGGAGGAGTCGTCCTCTTCGGACTCGTCAGAGGACGAGTCCGAGTCCAGCTCTTCTGGCCACAGTTCTCCAGGCTCAGAAGAAAGACATAGCCGCCTACAAGAGGCGAGACTTTCTCATGCAGTTGAGAAGGGGGACAATTGGGCGGAGCCGTCCGCCTCTTACAGAGAGGAAAACGCCCCCTACTACTGCATGGTACCCCGGGGCCGGATCGCAACCATGCAAGACAAAGTGGAGAGCTTTATTGCTAACCACAGAATGGGCCCGAAATTTTTACTGTTCGTGCCGGATCCAGAAGACACTGTCGTCTGGCCGGCTGGTACCAGCTATGATGACGGCTGCTTTGGCTGCTATGTGGCGGCCATCAAAGCTGGACTGCGCTTCCCATTACATCCGGCTGTTCACCGGATTTTAGATGGGTATGATTTGGGGTTATGGCAGTTAGCCCCCAACTCTTGGGTAAACGTACTCGGCTATGTGGCCGGGTGCGAAATGTACGGGGTGGAGCCAAGCTTTGAGGCTTTCGCCCACATGAACTATCTCAGCCGGACCCCTAAGTCGGGAGGTACCGGCTGGTATCAATTAACAAGCCATAGGGGTTACCTCATGACGAGAGGTAAGGCGAACAAATGGAAGGATTGGCGGAACACCTTC